GATTTATCCTCAAACCAGGTATATGTATATCTATGATAATATAATATAAGGTATTATGAATTATGATAACTACATGCAAAATTTTTGAAAAATTGATTAACTTTATTCAAAATGCGTCCTAATTGAAAAATAATATATTTCTTTCAAAATAGAATATATGACAATATTTAAATATAATATCTTAACTGACAAATCATCTCCGTTCAGAATCGTTTTTCGTATACAAAGATACCTATCATTGCATAAATCTAACCTACCCTAGTCAGAGGTCCACCCCACCACATAAGGTACAGCAGAGCGACATCCATTTACCCGCTTTTTATAATAACCTTTATAGTTATTTGTGCTGAAAACGACTGTAGGTATATAGTCAGAATTTGTCGGTTAGATTTAGTCTCGGATTTAGTTTATAAGTTATGGGTTATAGGCTTATAGCAATTCGAAGTCCGTGACCAAAGAGGTTTACATAATATAGGAAGTCGAGGGATATTTCCAATTTCAATCGTCCGGTTGAACCATAGACTCTAGGTAAGGGTCGAACACATTGGTGAGTCACCACGCAGGGTATATATGAGAAATAAACACACCAATAAAATTTCAAAAGACCAAACTATAATTAATCTCAAATTTTGATTTCAATATCGTTTTCAACATGCTGAACTACATACGTTAAGACAAAAAAAAAATGTCTGCAGGTAAAACAGAAAAGTTCTATAATTAGATTCAATTTATATTATAGTTTTCGTGTTGTTTCTTCTATCTGGTACTTATCTAAACGTGAACAAAAGAAAGTGAAATTGATAAAATGTTTTAATTTTCTTAATTTGTGTCGATAATGTATAAAAAGTAATTGGAGCTTGATCTTCCACCCCACTTGTTGCTCCATGAATGTATGCTATACACACAATATGTCCATTCAAATGTAGGTACGTCGGTATTGACCTTATTAATATATCAATAAATATTCATTAATTTATGTAAATTATAAAGTTATTTTAAAATAAACGRGAATTTATTGAAAATAAATGGTCCAATACTCCAACCTAGAGCATTGCTTAGGAATCTAAATAAATTATAAAATATCTTTATAAATTAAGTCCGAAACAGTCTCCACACGGAATCGTTTTTTCGCACGTAATAATTTATCATTGAATTCTAATTTAACATATCCATTACAGTGACCTACTCAATGACAAAAAGTACATTTGAAACCTACTATGCTTGCATTGAAATATCGCAATGTATATTAAATGCATATTAGGAGATGAATAAATAAAATTTAATTATTGAACGGGTTTGACTTAAGTAAATTTATAAAATATACCTAACACTAAACACAAATACCAGGGCAAATACCTAAGTATGATATTAATTTAATTTTTTTTATACAAACTATTAACTATAGCCTATAGGTACATCAATTTTTATATCATTGCATGATGCCTGCAATTATATTACACGTGGTATTTTTTGTGTGATTGTATAAAATAATCCTACTCATATAGCTGATACCTACATCATAAATTTTAATTTAAAATAAAATTTTAATATGCAAAGTAAGAACTCGTAAACAATAAATTATACTAATATAATGTATAATATATTACAATAGATATTAAATCATCGATAGCAATTTTAAAGCAAAATAACAATACGAAATATATCTATATAATTTGCTTGTAGTTTGGAAATACAAATGAATAAATACATTATAATATACATAATATTACTGTACATTACCAATAAGATGTATGGTTATGTTGCTTATGTATAAAATAATATATTAAAGTTTTTATTTTTTACTCGACAATATGAAATCTGACGTTGATCCGTTATAAATTTATGAAATAAAAAAATTATGATTGGGTGGAAATTATTTTTACGTTCGATCAATTAAAAACGTACAATATATTATTAGTGCGATAGAAGAGTATCWGA